CTTTCGCGGCCACACATTTCTGGTGCGGTCCGCGTTCATCATTTAGCCTGAAATGCAACTCTCTGAATCTCCCTTACGTGGATCACGTATTTCTGATCGCAGCCGCGTTGTGGCTTCCGCGGCCGCACAATATTTGTGCGGTCCGCGTTTCAGATCTCTTGGCCTAGTCTTGGTTTTTGTTCAAGTTTTGACTCTTTTATGAGTTGATTATGACTCCTTTGGCTCATTTTGAACAACAATTCCTGCAAGCAAGCACATTATATTAGTTTCTGGGAATTGCTTCACGCATTTTGGGCCCAAAATACAAGTAAAAGAGAGCAAATAATAGGTTAAAATCCCTACTAATCAGATGCCGACGTTAGCAAGGAAAGAAACTTCGAAGCTGAAATGTATCGATCGGTAGGATGTATTGTAAGGGCCAAACGATCAAACGAACCGTGACCACATAGGTTGATCGAACCCTAACACAAAGCATATATACATATGTTACTACCTTACACAAGAACAAAGAGAAGTCTCTTCCTTGTAATCATCTTGTGTTTTAAAAATTTCTTCTTTACATCCCTTAAAGAATTTCATGCTTCCAATATCCTAAAGGTAACGAGCTCAAGGGCCGCCTATAACCAGAGTTCGAATGATCACTTCCTCACTCGGGGACTGTCGTCCGAAAATTAACTCGGGCGGCCCAAGCCACTAGATCTCAGGGGCATAAGACCTATCAGGCAACCCCCTAATTTTAAAGGCCACGACCATCTCCACTCGGAAACTGCTATCTTGGGCAAGATCGGGTAACTCGGGAAAATAAGTCCACTGGGAGAATCCCATACTAAAAGGCTACGGCCATATTAACACGACTCGGAGACGTCCGAGACCCGTAACAAAGATAGGCCTTCAAAAAAGAAAATTTTTCATAACCGGTTCCAAAGGCTACCCTTGGTAAACTATAATTTGAATCACTTACTTTGGGAGAAAGTTTCCGATGACACCGAACCCCCAAGATGCCTTAAAACAGAGTAATGTAATGGCGAGGTTTGTTTGAGCTTTCAAACATAACCTAAGTTATTTTATGCTAAGGCATTACGGCCTTGTGAATGCAAGTAATAAAGCAAAGGAAAAATTTGAAAGTCGAAAGGAAAAAAAAGCCTTCATATATATATTTATCCAATAATCTTTTTACAAAGGTCAAATGGCCCAATACAAAAAATCTACAACAGCCAAAACGGCCTAAAAAATGCAAAAAAGCAAAAAATAAAAACATCTAAAGGCCTAAGTGGCCTGATCCTTATTGTAGGCAGCAACACCCTCAGGATCTTCCCCGCATTCGGACTCGCTTAAGCCTTTGGAGTCATTGTCATCCTCGGGATAAGCCAACTTTTTAGCCTCAGCCTCGAGTTCCTTGGCGTTCTCGATCTCAGCCGGTAGGTCGAAACCTCGAGCATGGATTTCCTCAAGGTCCTCCCTTCGAGATTGCCACTTAGTATGCTCGGTGATATCTTTTTCTCGAACTTGAGCTGCCTCGGCATCGGCCTTATAAACGGCCACCACCTCATCAGCCTTGGTCTTAACTACTTTTGCCTCCGATTTAACCGCTTCAAGCTCTGTGGCCAAATTTTCTCGATCAGAGATGGCCAAATTCAGCTGGGACTGGAGCTCCTCAATTTCCTGCGCCAAGGACTTCTCCTTTATACCTCGGAGCTGGACCTCAGCCGAAGCCAACTAGGATCGGGCGGTCTTCTTTTCAGAGGCTAGGCGACCCATGTTCCTTTTCCATTCTTCGGCCTCAGCCTTCACCGCATACCTCTTCCCGGAACTGCCCGATTTTTTCGACCTTCTGTTAGATTTGCGGGTTCGGACCATTAGTTCACCACGTCCGATTCATCGTCACTAACTTCAAAAATTCTTCTTACCTGCTCAGCCAGGTCGGCATGATCTTTCCGAGCCACCTCCAACTCAGCTTGGAGGCCCTTAGTCTCCCCTTCTCTTTGCTTACTGAGAAGTTTGTAAGCATATCTCTTCTCAGTGAGCCCTCGAACCTTGGCCTTATATTGGGCCAGCTTCTCCCGGTAGCGGAGGAATGTTTCATGGTGGAGTAACGAAGCTTGCAAACATAGGAAAATGAGTTACAACATCTATAAAATAATCTAAGTACACACTAGAAATTTTAAAAGGTATATGGGTTACCCGATTTAATGCTTGTTGGGCTTCGTTGAACAAACAAGGCACTTCCACCTTGTTCATCTTGGCCTAATCCTCCTCGGTCACCAAGCACCGAAGATAACTGGCCACTCCCACAGGGGCAGAAAGAACTCGGGCATCTTCGGGGATGGACATAACAATTGACCGTTTCCGATCAGGATTTAAACTCGGGGCTGGGAATTGATTGACTAATTTTGGGCTCGAGGCAGGTCCACTAGATGGAATCTTCTTCGACAACGGCATGTCACCCAACTCGGTGACATCCTCCGTAGCGGTAGATTCTACGCCATCGAAGAAGTTGTTAAAGGTGTCTTCCGCCTCTTGTGGCTCTTCGGTGGATCGTTCTTTCAGCGCCTGAGCATCGGCAACCATAGACTCAGAAAATAATAAAGACGAACCAACGAGGTCTATCACTCCGGGTATGCCTTTCGGAACATTATTCGTTGTCCGGGAAAAACCGACCACATTATTGGCCTCCCCATCTCGAGGCGGAGTGGCCTCACACCCTTCTGGTTTGGGAGCTTCAGCTAAAGTTCTCCCATCGACCTGCTCAAGTCGAGATGGTTCAGTTTCAACACCCGCTGGTTCGGAGTCCTCTTGTATCAAGACACCTGCCCACATACGGGCCACCAGCTTAGATTTCTCTTCTTCTTCTTCGGACTCATCCCTTAGCCGGTGCACTAAGTCCGATGATAGAGTGCCGGTGCTTCCCTTCGGTTTACCCGCTGGCCTACTCTTTGGTTTCTTCTTTTCCAAGTTCGGAGAACTCGGGGCCCTTTTCCTTTTCTTCTCATCACCCTGCCTCGGAGTAGGGGACTCAACAGGCACATCCTCATCACCGGATGAAGGCCTCATAGCAACATCTTTGGAGAGACCTACAAAAGAAAACAGAACCGATAAGAATTCGACAGCGCAAGGAGGAAAACAAATATTATTAAATCAGAAAAGAAAACTTACCATGATTATGGGCCTCACAGCGACCCATAGATAGTTCGCACCATGCGCGCTCGGCATATGGTCTCTGTGACACAAGGTCCTCGACCCACTCCTTGAGTCGAGGAACTGCATCCGGCATCCAAGCCACAACTGCACCACAAAAACACCGGTAAGAAGGGGGGGGGGGGGAAGGGGAGAAACAATAAATAAATCTTTAAGGCAAAGTTATAATTACGCTTCATGTTCCATTTATCTGGAAATGACATGTCCTCAACGGGGATCAAGTCCGAGGTCTTCACTCAAACGAATTGGCCCATCCAGCCTCGGTCCCGATCCTCATCTATACTCGAGAACGGGGCCCTATTGGCCTGGCGAGTATGTTTTATTAATCCCCCTCGATAGAGTCGGGGACTATACAGACGCATGAGGTGATCGAGGGTGAAAGGACACCCCTCGATTTTGCTTACAAAAAAGCGGAGAAGAATTACTATCCTCCAGAAAGAGGGATGAATTTGATCGAGGGTCACTTCATACCTCTTGCAGAAGGCAACAGTGATCGGGTCTAAGGGACCCAACGTGAAAGGGTAAGTGTAAACACTTAAAAAAGCCCACGTGGGTAGTAATTGCTTCCTGAGGCGAGGGCACCACGGCCCAATTACAATCCTCTTTGACCATGGAGAGGAGATCATCGGTGATCGAACATATATATCTCGAGAACGGCTTGCATCGACCTGGTACCGAGGAAGTTTTTTCAATCTTGAAATCAGCACAGGTCGAGCACCCTCCAGGAACGAACTCTTCAGGGTGTGGTTTTACCGCAGTCCCGTCGCCGGCAGGCCGTGATGAAGAGGCCGTCTCTTTCTGTGGAACAGTCTTAGAAGTTTTCTCCATTTTAAAGCAGAAATGAAGAAAAGAAAATTAAGAAAGTGCGCTTAGTGGTTGCAAAAGGTTCAAGAAATCTGGGTACAAAAGTAAGAGAGTGAAGAGATTCTTAAAGAACAAGAGTAGAAGAAGCTTTGAACATAAAGTTTGAATAAATGAAAGTTGGGGTATTTTTAGTTTGCTAATGATGATTCAAAATCAGTAGTAGCCGACCGAAAACTGACACACATTTAATGCCTTGGAGACTGGACCGACGAGACGTTTCAGTTACCTTTTGTCGCTTACGTCATGATCTATCGAAGCGAGGTTCGGAAGTTCATATCATTTCTCATCATCTTCTTCCAAAAAACGAGGGGACTATCTGTATACAGTCGAAATCGGGTTCTCCTATTGAGTGACCAATCGAGGCTGAAACATGGCAGGTCAAAGCTCGAGCTCGGGTTATATCGAACCAAGACGCAAAATTAAATCGTCGAGCTCGTGACCCTGAGACCGAACAAGATGGAGGGGAACTTGCCGAGCCAAATAACGGAAGGCCGAAATATCCGCAATCAGTCGAAGATCACGGCGGAAATCTCGGCACGTATCAAGAAAAGGCCGATTAATTAGCATATCACGAGAATTTTTACCTTGTATAGAATTATACCAAGAGTAGGACACTCCTACTATATAAAGGGGGATGTTGATCATTTGTAGGACACTGTAACAGGCACAAAGAAAGCAATATACTGATCAATTCTAGTTCTTATCATTTGTGTGGTTTGCATTTATCATCAATTTCAATATTAATTTGTTTACTTAATTTGAGTTATATCATGTATCCTTAAAACCACGTATAAATTCAATTGTTATCCGATTTTGAAGGTAAACACATATACTTTGAAGGAGTTTGGTTATTAAAAGAGCTACGACTTTATAACAACAAATAATCATATTATCATACTACCCTAATTTTAAACAATTATGTAAAAATCGTTTCAAGTAAGTGAACAAATTTAAAATGTATAGCATTGTATTTCCCAAGTACCTCAACTCACTAACCTTAACTAACCAACACATAGAGTCAAACGACGTATCATAATAAAACGTACTAATCATAATATATTAGTTGCAAAAGTATAGTCATATATATAAGGCTTGGTGCAGGGGCATCATATAAAAATGTTTTCATGCTTATAACTTCAAATAAGTTCCAGGAAGAGGCTTGCTTTAGGATGAAGGCCTGCATCTTTGAGTGTCACTCCCATTTGATCTACACCATACACTTTCCTTGGAAAGTTTGATATCAATCTGTAATTCCCAACTCCAGGCAACCCCAGTGAATCAATGTACCTAAAAATTGCTTGAATCTTGTCTGTAGATGAGAAACTATGCTCTCTCCTCTCTCCATTTGGAAACCGAATTGCAATCTGCACAAATTTAACACGAAAATTGAGTATTCGCACCAGGTACAGTATGCAATGGATTTATGTTATATACACTAATATTACAGTAACTCAACCTGTTATAAGTTATAACATGTTACATACCATTTATTCTAGGTCACTTGTTATTTCCTTTGTGTAAATATTTTTAGAGCGTAGATGTATAGAACTTACAGTAGCGCAACATCAAGAAATATAGTGCTGTACAAGTTACCTGAGTTATTTGAGCATTTCGCCCAGCACTTGCATTGGTAGACTCTTTGTTCTTACTAGATTTGGATAGTGCAGGGTTTTGCATTGTTGCTTTGGCAAAAGTAGCTTCTTTCTTCTTGCTAGATTGGGATAGTGTAGGGTTTTGCATAGTTGCTATGGCAGAGGTAGCTTCTTTTTGCTTACTGGATTGAGACTGTGTTGGATGTTGTTTCGGTTTCTCTTGATTTGATTTATTTGGGGCATGTTCTGGTTTTGAATTTCGTCGTAAGGGCATTATGTTCTCGAGTCTCTCTTTCTCCTGAAATGTAAAGGAACTTGATTTGATATCCAGCTTCCTCTTGATAAAAAGAAATATAGAGCAAGTAATATAAATAAACAGAAATGGACCTGATCAATCTGAAGAGATGCAATGTAAGCTACATCTTGTTCTTCCCTCAGTCGGCGATCTGCCCTTAACTTTTCTTGCTCTTTGGCCCTTCCACTTCCAAAAGCCAACCCTTGTTCTTCCATTGTTCTTTGTAATATCTCCACCAATTCAGCTGGGGAGACTGGACCCTCCAACTATTCAAAAGGAAGTCAAAAGAAAGATTAAGTACACCATCTACACTTTCCCCTACTTCAAAAAACTTGATCACTAAACTGAATACCAGTAGTTTTGTTCAGTGCTAAGTCATGTAATACAACAGGCTAATAGCTTATTCAGAATTAATACATTGTGACCACAAATCTCAGAAGAGTGCCTGGTAGTAGGTTTTGCAACACAATATTATTACTTCCCAAAGTTTTGCCTCCTACAATATGTTTAGGTGCTTTCCCTGAATTGTATTTGAAATGTTTTATTTGCATAATGAGTCTTATAGTAGAAATCTAAGTCTTATTTCACCAATCCGGAAGCATGGAAAACTTTTATTCATGCTTTTCTGGAGTTGTGTCTAAAGGGCAGCCTGATACATGTAGAGAAAATGACGGCAACTTCGGGAATAGGTTGACTTTCTTTCATTTTTGTTATGGAAAGTGAAAGTCGTTTCGTTTAGTACGATATCGCTTCACATTCAATTTCTAAACGCTGGAGTAGATCCTAAAGAGCTACCACTTCCTCATGAATTTATCTTGAATCGAGATCTTTTGTCTCAAATTTATCCCAGTTTGCCGAGGGAGCAACTAAATTCCTGCTATGCACGGGGTCCTCCGGGGAATGGTTGGACCACATTAGGTTAGGTTTATTATATGCGGCCTTACCTTGCCTTTCTACAAAGGGTTGCTTCCAAAATTTGAAGCTTTGATATCCTAGTCACACGGGAACAACTCTTACTGTTGCGCCAAAGTTTCCCTTCTTGGAGTTGTGTCTCCTTTATATTTTTATTTGTAAGGTTTGACATAATATTTTTATAAATTAGTGGACAATGCAGTAAGAAAAAGAATGAAATGGCAAAATAATAAACTCCAAGTAACCTGTTGCAGCACAGCTATGCTATCTCCAGGAGCAGGAGCCACAAGGGCACAAAAAGGAAAGCTTGAAGCTTTTAGAGTTGTAGCCATCTGCAAACCTTCCCCTCTATCAGCAAGTTCACCCCAACATACATAATTAGCATCAAGAAACTCTACCACAACCTCACAACACAAAGTCTCACTGCAGAAACAAGGGGTGAAAGGGTGTTGTGGGGAGTGAAGGTACACAAACAAGAACTTATGCTCATCTTTGGCTATCTTTAGTGCATCCATGAACCGACAGGCATAGAAAAAGGGATGTTCAGTACCATATTGCTGCTCAAAACTTGTCAAAAATGCCCATTCTTCTTGGACATTTAAATGGTCATGTGGGTAATTTTGTGTAGGGAAATCAAATGGATCTTGAAAAGGAAATTCATAAGGGTGTTGGTAGGGGAAATTTGGATGTGGTAATTGGTGTTGATTTCTTCTTCCTCCTATTCCCATTAGGTCCATTCCTTGATCCATTACTCTTGAAAATCCACCCATAATATTACGAGGAAGACTTACCATTCTTCTTACAATCCCATTGTAGGATTGTCCTGTAGCTCTTCCACTTCCCCTTATCATTGAATAGAATATCACTATTCCAAAAAATATTGTTGTGTGCTTATGAATATGAAAAAGGTCGAATCTTGATTCTCTATTGGCAAGAATGAGTCTTGTAATAAGTGTGAATAAAAGCTGCGTCGTTTGAGGGGAATCCAAGAAATAGAATCAATTAAAGGGACAGAACTTGATGTTAGTCAAAAAAAAATTACTACTATGTCATAATCACTTTTGGAAAATCTTTCCTTTATCAGACTTTAACAAAAGTAACTCTGGGAATATTGTATCAGGAATTTTTCATCTTTGTCCTATTCTACATAGTTCAAGAAGGATACATTGTACTGAGAATATATCTAGTGGTGATATTTTGTCACAAGGAGAGTGGATATATAGTGTTAAAGCTCTTGAGAAGGAAAATAATGCCTCCATAGAATAAATAAAGAATAGTATGACATTTTTTTGGTCTCCATATCAAGATTAGATTCTAAAGTTAGTTCACTATTCTCTTTCTCGATCAACAACCACAACCAAAAGACTCATTAAAGCAGAATATAATACTTTTCTTTTTAACTCCCCTGATCTTTAACTTATCTATTAAGATGGTTACCAAAAAGTGTTCTCATTTACCAAGAGTAGTAGAAATTTGACACATATTTTCATCCTTTATGGTGAGGATAGGTATGGCGACTAATGCATACTTTCACTATTTTTACTTGTACAAGTATTATAGTCTGGTGGAAAGTTGGGTGTGGTGAATAGTTTAAACGGAGTCTAAAAATAATCTACAAGAATTTAGATTGACTAATGTTCCTAGCTAAAGTTGTCTACGCATAAAACTTTCTTTAAAGCTAGAATAAAGTACTATACATTAGCGAGAAAAAGGATAAAAGATAAGTGAAGAGAAAAAAACATCTAAAAGGAAATAGGTTCTGGCACCTGGCTGACACATTGACTATGCATTTTTCATTTTAGTTTGTTGTTTTTTGCCACCTGCTTCTGTTTGGGAATTGTCTATGAAATGTGAAGATGTGGTTGTGTGTCACTTCAAAAACTTCACACGTGGAATAGTAGGAAATATTGCTAGAACAGCAAGAACCATTAATTCAGAACAGTCATCAAAGCCAGGCCAAAAAGGACATACAAATCCACCTATTTATCAGTGATGAGGAGCGTAGATTAAAAAGTGGCCAACAGTTTTAGAGAAAATCCAGCAATTATGAAAGAAGATTTACTTGTTTTATTCCACTTTTCGTCTTTAAATTTTCAATAAATAGTGTGAAGTGTTAAAAGGTTGGAGAGTAAGACAACACCGAAACACTTTTCAGAAAAGTGGCGAAGGAAGAGATTATTCTATTTCATAACTTGGCTTGCACAAAATGATTAGAATATATAGGTATCTATAGGTGAAATACACCATGCATCTAACGTTGAATACATGCACCTTATAACCAACAAGCTTAAAGTCATATTCACCCGTATCTGTGAGAGAAAATGATCTCTATAGCCCTCAAAATTTTATTAGTCCATATTTTTTTTATTAACACAAAATGTCCCTTCGGCCCAAATATATTACATTTAATAGCTTGAAATATCTATTTTATATAGTGATAGTCTATTTTGTATATTTTTTCTATAGTGACAGTTTATTTTATATATATTTTGTATAGTGACCGTCTATTTAGTATATTTTTTGTATAGTGACAGTCTATTTTGTATATATTTTTTGTATAGTGACAGTATATTTAGTATATTTTTGGTATAGTGACAATTTATTGTATATAAATTGTATAGTGACAATCTATTTAGTATATTTTTTGTATAGTGATAGTCTATTTTGTATATATTTTGTAATAGTGACAGTCTATTTAGTATTTTTTTTTTGTATAGTGACAGTCTATTTTATATATATTTTGTATAGTGACAGTCTATTGTATATATTTTGTATAGCGACATTATATTGTATATAAATTGTACAGTGACAGTCTATTTTGTATATTTTTTATATACTGACAGTCTATTTTGTATATATTTTATATAGACAGTCTATTTTGTATCTCCGAGCACTTTTATCTATCCAACGTGTATAGGCTATTATATGATGTATAAAAGTGTATATATTATTCTTTTACCTTAACCTTGTCTATCCAACGTGTATATACTATTTTGTATAGAATTTATAATTAAGAAGCTGCTGACATTTAGATTAAAACAAAAATCAAAGAATTCAGGGTATGCAATGGCCAAAACTTATTCAAGCTTTAGCTTTACGCCCTGGTGGACTGATGCAAATGAAAATGGCTTCAGCTTGCGAAGCATGTACAGGAAGCTTGAATGGGTGTACCTAGCTGTTAGGAGTTGGTTATTAACGGATAGAGTTGAAGTTATTAAGTGAGCAGTTTAGTCCCTCTAGGTTTCTTAAAGCAAGTTTGATAAATTGTAATTAGGTCCATAGATTTATCATATTTCGACACTTTTAGTCCCTGTCAGAAGTAGTTACAAGTTTTTGTTTGGTAGTGAGCAGTGGAGTCTATATGTAAGCATCATTGAGAATCAGATGGTATCAATTGAAAAACTCTTTTAATTTTGCCCTACTTTTATTCTTAGTTTCATTTTCCTTTTCTTTTACTGTTCCATTGTCGTCGCCGGCATCAGTGGTATCAGAGCATCTTCTTGGCTCTGTGGGAATCCATGGCTGGAGAATCAAGTGAAGTCATGGACATGCTACACAAAATATCAGTAAATATGTCTAGCTTCACAGCTCGTCAAGACCAGCTCGAAGCTTTTCAAGTGCAGACCTGCAAGAATCATGAAGAGGCTGTCAATGACTTGAGAGAAGTGCTTAATGAGGTTATACATGACAGCAGAAGGCCTGAACGCGGCAAGGACACTGACCCACGAGGAGGTGAGTTGTATACTCTTAGTGATCTTCCTCTTAGTATAGGAGAAATGGCAACTCCCAACTCCATGGGAGGTACTTGCCCAGTTTCATCAAGTGTTTCACTTTCTAGCAGTATTCCGACCTCAAACATTGTACCCCCTGCTCGAAATACTGCTATAGGAGTAAATTGGACCTCTCCTGGACCTTCGAATCAAACACAGTTGAACCCTAGCTTGCAGAACCCCAACGTAACAATGAGAACACAGCCTGCTATGTTAGCAACACAAGGACCTTCAAGTCCTTACTCTCCTCCGCCCAGAACTTTACCAGCTTCCTCTTATCTTCCCCCTGAAGCTAATAGAAATAATTATACTCAACCTTATCAGCATTCTAACACCCCTAATCGAGTTCAATATCCTTACAACCCCTATAATCAACAATCACAATACCCTTTAACCTACCAAGTATCTAACACTCATGTAACCCCACCTATATACCACTAAGTTCCTTATGAGCCACTCTCTAACCTACCTCAAAACACACCTAGAAACAATCCATGGCAAGCTGCCACTCATTCACCAAATACTCCCCTACCAGCACTTCCATTTACTAAATGTGCTAAGGTTGAATTCCCAAGGTTCAATGGTGAAGACTTGAGGACATGGCTATATAAAGTGGATCAATTCTTCTCTAAGGAAGATATTACTATCTAGCAGAAGTTGAAATTAGTGTCTATGCACTTTGAGGGTGATGCCCTACAATGACATTTTGGGTACATGAGAAGCAGAGGTCAAATGCCCCTTCCTACATGGGATGAATACATTTGGGCATTATGTGACAGCTTTGGTGCAGAGTACACTGATCCCATGACTGAAATAATGAATGTTAAGCATACAAAAACTGTGAAGGAGTACCAACAAGCATTCAATAGTGTAATGAATAGGTTGGACATATCAACAAGGCATTTATCTTACTTAACAACCTTAAACCAGAGCTGAGCAATGCTGTTAGAGTGGGGAACCCAAGCACCTTGCCCCAGGCTTACTACTTGGATAGATTACAGGAAGCCAACTTTGCTGCTCAAAGTAGGGACATCAGGAATTTAAGCTCAAGATCTTCCATGAGTAGAGGATCAAGCGGACTCCATTCTAACAACTGGCAAAAAGATGGCTCTTCTGGGTTCAAGAAACCTCCTGCTGCCAGAATGGATAACAACGGAAGGAGGAGATTGACCCCTGTTGAGATGGATGAGAAGAGGGCAAGAGGTTTATGCTTCTTCTGTGATGAGAAGTTTACTCCCGGCCATAAATGCAAGGCCAAGAGACATATCTATTCCTTGGAGCTGGGGGCCTATAGAGGAAGTGGAGGAAAAAGAAGCAGATGAGGAAGAGGGCATGGAACTAGAAGAAGTCAATGAAGAAGTGGTGGAAGAAACAACTGAGAATTGTGTCATCTCATTGCAAGCACTCAATGGAACACCAGGATACCAAACACTCAGGCTTAGGGGGTTCACTAAACAGAAGCCATTAGAGATTTTCATTGATTGTGGATCCACCCACAATTTCATTACTGAAGATACAGCAGAAAAGTTGGGTTGCAAGATAAGCAAGATCAAGCCACAATTAGTGCAGGTAGCTGATGGTAGAGAGGTGCCTACAGAGAACATATGTAAGAGATTTCAGTGGCTTATGCAAGGTGCAGTGTTCCAAGGTGACTTCCTGGTCTTCCCTATTGGCAGTAGTGACATTGTATTAGGCATTCAATGGTTGTATCCACTGGAGGACATCAAGTTCAACTTCAAAAAGCTAATAATGGAGTTTGAACATGAGGGCAAATTATTGACTTTGCAAGGAATCCAACCTAAACTCAAGGTTGTTCAGTCCAAGGCTTTGGAGAAGGTTGATAGGAATGATTCAAATTTCTTTATGGTAAAGGTCAGAGGTGCCATGGAAGAAGAACTAAGTGCTGCAGGAACTGAGTAACCAGGGCCAATCACTGAGGTTTTGAAGCAATATGACATGGTGTTTGGGGAACCAACTCAACTGCCTCCCTTTAGGGGTGTGTTTGATCATCACATACCCTTATTGGAGGGTACTTCTCCAACCAAACCTTATAGGTACTCCCTTGTACCGAAAGATGTCATAGAGAAACTAGTGCAAGAGATGTTAGGTCAAGTAATAATCCGGCATAGTTCTAGCACCTATGCTTCACCTCTGGTCTTGGTAGAAAAGAAGGATTGGACATGGAGGATGTGTGTAGATTATAGAGCCTTGAACGAAATGACTGTCAAGGACAAATTTCCTATCCCTATTATTGAGGAGTTGTTGGATGAATTAGGTGGTTCTCAGATATACTCTAAAATAGACCTCAGGGCAGGATACCATCAAATCAGAATGACACCTGAAGATATGGCCAAAACTGCCTTCAGAACACATTCTGGGTATTATGAATACTTGGTTATACCTTTTGGGCTGACCAATGCTCTTTCAAGCTTCCAAGGGCTAATGAATCACATCTTTCAAGCATATTTGA